ACCAATGAAATGACCCCATCGTAGCCTGCACTCATGGAAGATCCGTTCGGATGGGAAGTACAGTCACTGCCTGGTGCAATAAGGGGTGAGCGGGTAGTTCTCAACACTCTGAATTATTGCCAATGCGGCACAACACTATGCTAGCTACTACACACTATCTTGTCCTCTCTCCAGCTCTGTAAGGCATGCAGCCCTTGCCACTACCTTCAATCAGCTCCCAAGAAGCAGTTAAGACCTGCACTTCCCTCCTGCTTCTACACAGGGAAACCAATGGTGGCAAACCCTTTTCTCTCATTTGGCCTGACAGATATCCTTTCCATCGAGGCGTTATTGTAGCTCTGCAAAGTGGCGAATTGAGTATCTATGCGAAACCAAAATATTCGCTTCCAGCGGTAATGGCCTTCATCAATTGTGATCGTAAAGCATCGTAGCTTTCGTACTCGGGGATATCGAGCTCTAGAAGACAGCTAAGTTAGTAATTTGAAGATAAAAACGTAGGCATGTAGGAAACAAGTCTGTTATAACGTACGGTTAAAGCAGGTATGAGAGGTGGGGAGTCGGTCCTTGTTGCCATAGTCTCTATGGATGTTGAATCGATTGACACCATTCATGCCTTCTAATTCCTTGAAACCATTTAGAGGAACCTTGCTGGTTCCGGTAACAAATTGGAGTAATTTGGCTCTCTCTTCCTTGTCAAAGGAGCGAACAGCTCTCCAGAACCACTGGATCTGTGGGGAAGAGGGATTGTAGTTTTGATACTCCGTGTTGCTCTTCCAATCGTCAACGTCGATATCAGGAAGTCCAGAAATGAGGAGTTCGAGTTCCTGTTCATTGAAAATCGAAATGAGTTCTTCGGGAATGATATCATGGAATCCTAAGAATAATGTTAGATTCAACGACTTTGTAAAATTTATAGGGGGAAAACAATGCACTTACCCTTCAAAAAGTGTTCCATCTGGTCCTTAACTGATGAAAGAAGCTTGTGTTCAACCACGAGGCGGACATAGTCCTGCTTGTTTTCATCCGTCACAGGTATTTCCCGCCCATTGGGGATAAGATCCACCACTTTAGTGACACCAAACTCATCGTCCTCCACTGAGAAGGTCTCAGTAATGATGTCGGTGATATCGTTCTCCAGCATCCAGCAAAGTGATTTGTAGTAGTCTGGGTCAAATGACTCCATATCCTTTACCGAAACAGATTTGCCAAGAATGCGCTTGTAGACAGCGCGACTGAAGTAACAGTCTAAAACCCGACCTTCATAGAGAGCCTTTCCAATGATGCGGCCAATAAACTTGAAGAACATCAAGTGCTCGTCATTGATGCCGCTGAGTTTGTTTGGATGGAACGTGGTTCGATCTGACGACACTGGAATGAAGAGGGCATAATTGGCATCGAACATCTGTCGGGCTAGAACCTGGAACCACTCTCGTGTAACGCCACCAGCGTCAACTCCCTCTTCTCCGTGGAAACGGATATTGAGTTTCCCGAACTTCATCTCGTCTCCGGATTTGAAGTATAGTGATTTGAACGAATCATGGAAGACTTGGTCACGACGGACTGATAAGTTCAGGGTGGGGTAAGAAGGCCGGCCGTGGTGAGGTTGGCCCGAACGGGAATGCACGCTTCGATTGAAGTAGTTTCTCTTGTTGTCAAATTCCAGGACCTTCGGGTTCTTAACTAAAAGAGCAAAGGTGCCAGACATGAGCTTGGGATTGTTTCGGACCAACTCGTTCAAAATCCGACGATGGTCCTCAGTGAACGAAAAGAAAAGACTGGCGGTGCGTGATTCAGGAGGGGGGCTAGACAGCACCATCTCTTTGCTCAACTGACCCTGAGAAGGATCATCCTGAGTAGTCGTGTTCTTGCAAACAACCATGAGAGATTCGATGAGTGGCAGCAAAATGGTGGCGACGTTGAACATATTCTCTCGTTCGTGTATGGCTGTCAGGCATGCACCGAGCTTGTCCCACATGGCAGAGAAAGTTGAGTTGTGGTAGAGAGATGTGACCAGGTCTTGCTTTTCACTGTCTGGTTTGTCATTTTCACCACCATTGGATTTCTTCTTGCCGTCGAATAGATGGTCGAGAGCCGTCAAGACTCTGAGCAACTTGTTTTGCTCAGATGCTCCAGGGGAGAATTTCGACAGCGCGACTCCTTGAATCTCAGTTCCCGATGTTGCTTTCTCGATGTGCGGGAGTAGCTCATCAAGGTCAGTCACAATGTTCTCGCTAAGAAGCCTGGCCTGACGGACCAATTCTTGGCCGAAGACAGACCTTGCTCCTGGCACAGTTGAGAGATTCTTGATTGTGTTGATCGTATTCTGGAACGTTTTGGAGCTGCATTCTCTTGCCACAAAAACTCTGATTACAAGGGTAAGATTTTGTGGAGGGATCACGGGAGGCTGGATCTGGCGAGCTTTCTTTCGAGAATCGTCTTTCTGGCTTGTCTTTGCATCATCCCCTGTTGATGGGCCACCCTCTGCGGTTGTTGGTGGTGGGGGAGCTGCAGACTCCCCGCTGGCCTGTCCAGCGGCGGCGGAAGGATCATTTGGCTCCTGGTCTGCTTGGGCGTCGGCGGATTTAGACGCAGACTGCTCTTCCACTTCTTCCTCTGCTTCCCTTCGGCGGCGATCCAGGGCTAATAGGGGTATTGTGACGCGATTCAGTAGATCCGCTAGATGGGTCATCACGACGGAGCTCTCCATGACCAGATCTCGGTCGAGAAGAGTCAGCAACGAGTTGATGGCGTACTTGTGAGCCTTTGTGTCCTTTGATTTGCCTTTACGGCCGAGGGTCTTCCTAAGAGTTGACCCAACCGTCTCATGCTCGGTTAAAAAGAGCCAAGGGATCCCGGGGTTTCGTGTACATAGATCAACAAGAAGATCCAAACATTGCTGAACAATGAGCAATGGTGATGTTTCGGAATTGGTCTGACTTGTGATGGTAGAATTCAAAGCCGTCAGACTCTTCTTGACGCTTTGAGGAGTTTTCTGCTCCAGATCCTTGTCTCTGTTGTGTCTCCTGGCCTTGAGTGATAGATGGCTGAAGCTTCGGTCGACAGCGCTCATGTCCGTGCTACCTTCTTGGAGGATCTGGAGAATTGTGCTGATTACCTCCAGCCTATTTTGTCGGTTCTCACAAACATCGGCAAACACACTAAAAAGATAGTTGCGGATAGATCCCTGCTGGGCAATAAACATTAGCCGCACAAGTGTAGCTACTCCGGCCTTATCCAGCATTTGAACCACGGTACGACGCTGTGGCTTGCTTTCAGTGGCTGCAGGAGGCGGGGGTTGCTGTCCGGTCCTGGTGATTGCGACAGGTCGATGCCCCGGGATGGGGTGTGGCACCGCGTTGCTCCGCTGTAGCCTTCGAGCCTGTTCGGCCATCTCAGGGGGGAGATGCTCCATGATTTCATTGCCCTGCTCCAGAAGGACCTGGTCACGAAGCTCCTGGGGAAAGGTAAGCAAAATGCTTGCAGTATCCATGTCACCCGAAACAATTTCGGGTCCACCAGATGACGCAGCTGGGTGGGTGTTTCCATTATCGCGACGACGTTGCTCTTGAGCCTCTTGTTGTTCTATTTCGCGTCGAAGTTGGACTGGGAGAGCATCAAGGAACTCTTGGAATGCCACGGTAGACTCTCCAGCCGGTGCTTCTGCTCGAGCTTCAGACCGTCTGGCAGAAACGGCTTGAGCAATCACTTCTTCCCTGAACTCTTCTGGCAAGGCTGCCAGATAATCGGGGTCAATTCCCAAGTCTGTTACGTCAATTTCCTGATCCCCGAGTATAGCCATAACACGAGGTTGATCCGAAGGAACAGAGGTGTTGGAAGGGCCTGTATCGTTGGCCTCGTCTCCTTCAATTCCTTCCATCGCGCTGCCGCCGTCGGGGCCTGGGCCGGACTCTTGGCTGGCTTGCGGCTCGTTGTTTGCCGCAGCTTCTGACGCAGCACGCGCGGCGGCTTCTCGCTCCTCCGCCTCTACCTTTTCTCGGGCAGCTTTTTCTTCGGCCTCCTTTGCTTCCTTGATGCGACGTTCTTCAGCGTCTCGCTTGAGCCTCTCCTCCTCTGCACGTTTCTTTCTTTCAGCTTCTTCGGCCATGCGCTTCTTCTCTGCCTCCACAGCGGCAGGTGTAAGAATGGCCGAGATCATGTTGCTCAATTTCGCTGCTTCGGCTACCAAGGTTCCACCAAAGAGCATCCTTGCTTCCTCTTCATATCTATCCAGCGTATTCTGGGCAGCAAAAGAAACTGCTTGCCAAGGCTCTTGCACCACATTATCTCGGCGCTGCTCGATACGAGTAGCTCGGAGTCCCAGCTCTCGAGCGTCACGGGTTCCGCCAGGGCCTGTTATATGGAAGTGGAAGGCCTGGCCATTGCGCCCCATTACTGGCAGAATGTCCATCAGTTCACCGAGGAAGCCCATTGGGCCATCTGCTCCATGGCGGCCCATACCACCGAGCAGACCCTCCGGCAATCTCACACCAATGGAGTGACTGTGTGGTGCTCGCCCAGCACTCTCAGTTCCTTGGTCGACACGTCGCAGAAGTGGATTCACCCCGTCTTCAGTATTATTCTGCGAGCCAGTTGACCGATGGTGTCGAGAAAAGAAGCTGCGGAAATCTCCGAGAGGGTCTCCAGGAGAACCAGCGACAAATCCAGGACCAATGGGAAAAGGACTACGATTATCCATTCGAGCGAGAATCCGGCGTCGGTTACCTCCGTTGTTGTCCAATAAGACGAGGCGGTTTCTGTCAGATTCGGCGTTGAGACTATCCCACCCAAGAGCTGGCATGGGAGGTGGTTGTTCATCCACTATCATTAGTCAGCTGTGTCACTCTCAGACAGGCCTGTGTCAATAGGTAATACATACAAGGAAACCCGTCATCATAGATGAAAGCCTCATCGTCAACATCTTCCTCATCTTCTTCCTCGTCTGTGTCTGTTAGCTGGCAGTCCTGGCAGGTTTGGGAAATCATTTGCATACCATCGTCATCATGTCCACTCTCAAGATAGTGTTCATCCAGCAAGTCAGGCTCATACTCCTCTCCTTCGATGAGGGCCCGGGCCATGTTACCCAGCAAGTCGGCTGGAGGTGCTATGGTGTGAATATGAGCTTCGTCTATGTCTTGGCCTGCGGCTTCGTAATCCAAGTCGTCAGCCTCGATGTCGCCGTCTTCGTCTTCTTCATCTTCGACATCGTCGTCGCTCTCCCAGTCAGATGCCCCATCGTCTTCCATTGGGTTGCCTTGTTCGTCAACAATCTCTACCCGTGACTCGACACTTTCCATATCGGCGGAGTCCAAATCATCATCATCCTCACTATCATCGTCATCATCTTCCTCATCTTCGTCTCCATCCATGATGACCTCGACAACGTCAGGGTCACCTGGAAGCCCCTCAATCTCTCCCATCTCACTATCTTCGCTAATATTGTCCTGGTCATCGTCCGAGATCTCTTCATCATCGTAATCCATCTCGTCATCGTACTCGTCACCATACATATCCTCGCCGTCTTCATCTTCTTCTTCCGATTCATCCACATCTCTCCCAGGCTCGAGCATACCAAGGGAAGAGTTGCGATAGAGGTCGGGGGTTTCTTCTCGGTCGTCCTCCAAGTCTGAGAGAGACGAAGTAGATCCAAATTCATCGTCACCACTATCAGCGACAGAGCCCGACGGTAACAGGTTTGTGTGGCTTAGTTCTTTAGCCGTGTCCGTCAGAACACGAAGAACACGGAGGATGTACTTAATCGAACGCTTTACACCAGGGTAGTTGAGGCTAATCTCGGCAATAGACGCCGTGAGTTTTTCCAAGTAGCCCTTCTCGTACATAAGCCGACGCAGCTGGGCCTGAGACCTCACTTGATTAGGATCACTGTTTCGAGACCCAGTGTGTTCTCGATCTCTTTCCCCAACCATCTGGTTCATGAGCTCGGCCAGGCTCTGCATCCGAGAATAACGGGTTTCTAGCGATTCTTCGGAGTTCGGTGCCCTCTCATAGGCCTTTAATATGGTGTCAAGTACAAACTTGCGGACAAACTGAAGATCAGGCTCGTCGTCGTATGCAAATTTGGGTAGGTCACGATCAACTGGTCTCTCCCTAGTTTTCCCAACAAGTGCAACCAGGAGTCTCTGGGTGTGTATAGCAGTTGCGGACTTTTTCTTGTATGCGATAGAATCGATCGGGCCGTTGAGACTACTTTGACAGAGTAGATCATAAATCAGATAGTTGAGGACACTCGAACGAGGCTTCACTGGTGTACTAGTTGGTAGCGGAGGTGCGTTACGTTTAAAGTTGATAAACTCAACTTTGGTCCTGTTGTAACTTTGAAGGAGCTCTGTCAGGCAGCTGAGCAGGAAGCCTCGATAGACGAAAATCTGATGCTCCTCGGATTTGAAGACAGGGCGACCCGTCTTCTTGTCCTTGACGTCAGACGCAGTGCCCTCCGGGCCAGCGGCGTCTGTGCTACCTTGATCTGAGACCTCCTCTTCGGTCTTTGCCTCACCTCCTAGAGGGGCCAGCCCCTTGTCATCGACATCCCGGTAGTTGATCAGCTCACTGAGTAAGAAGTGGATGACACCATCTGAGTTCTCGACAACAGGTCGCTTGCTCTCGTGGTGGGGCCTAGGGGCATCGATCATGTCCTTATCGGCAGGTTCAGTTGACTCTTTCACATCTGACTCCTCCGGCGCACTGGCGCTTGCTTGCTCCTTGCTTGTGTTAGATCTGCTGTCTGATTTCAGGCAAAGGGTCGCTTGCCGGCCATGCTCTGACGCAGGGCTCCACTTGTAGAATTCTACCAGCTCGTTTGTAACTTCCACGAAGAGGCTGGGGGCACGAAGTGCGAGAGGTGCCATGTGTCGGAGATATGCCGAAATATCAGGTTGTCCGCGCTGGCTCCTTGTGATGTTCGTAAAATCATTCTTGATCTCCGCGCGGATGATCTGCTTGACGAGGTCTTCGTCCTCTACGATATGGCGCAGTATAGTCATGATGTATGAATTAGACTTGCTCTGCTTCATGCGATCAGCGCCCGTAGCAGCGAGCTGTTTCGCCATAAGGAACAGTCGTTGCATGTTTCGTTTTTCACCGACATGTCTAGCAAGAACCCGGTTGCGGGTTAAAATGACGAGCACCCTAAGAACCGAGGTGGCAAGAACCTCTTCCTTGCCAACACGAGGAACGAGATCCAGTGCGAAGTCGAGGAGCTCCCTCCTCTGAGATTCGTTGACTAACGGATCAGGCATTCTCAGTACCGGTTCCGCGACGTCGTCGTCAAGAGATTTTGGAGGTTTCCATTGCGCAGCCACAGGTCGCTCATCGTGGCGAAGTAAAGTCTCCAAGACTAACAGAATATAAGGGATCCACGGGGGCAAGTCTTCGCCCGACACTAAGGGAGGGATATTCAAGAACGAAGTAAACTCCTCCACCTTATCTTGTAGATTATCAAGATTGTTGCTGAAGAAGGTTTCGTCTTGTAGGAGCAAGGCCAGAAGATGGGAATATGATGCAATGCATTTTCCGTTCTTCTTCTTTTCGTCCTCATCAAAAGCCAGAGAAGAGAGTGCTAGCGTCACCGTTGAGCACACTTCAACATGCATGTCAGCATTCTCATGGCGGATAACCATGGCAGTAATAAGTTCCGAGACTTCAATAGCACATTCGGGGTGTGTGCGAATCACATCCAAGCATCTGTCTATCAGATCTTGACGTAGATCCGAACGTTGTTTATCGAGATCTTCTTTAGTGGCTGTGAACTCCGAATGTTTATGCTTGTTTGAATTACCGGCAGCATCAGGAATAGAACCAGGGACCACCACCGTTGCTGAGTGGCTTGTGGAAGCACCGCCCGCTCTGGCTTCTTCGGTATCTTCCGGGGAGCGGTCAGCAGAATCGCCTGGATGATCACCATTGAAATCGTCCAGAGACATTTGATCAGCATCTGATGAGGTTGTCCTTTGGGATGAGGGCCGATCTGTCCTTGCATGACGGTCATCAGCCAAAGCTGATAGATCGGCATCAGCTTGTGGGATTGGATTTCTTGCACCGCCAATGCCTGACTTGTGGGCTCTGCAATACTCTCGAGCTTGGAGCTCATTTCCGTTGGCTCGGAACACTGCTTCGTGAACGAGACCTTCGTCGAAGTTCTCATTCACCAGATCGCGAACTAGCCCACGGACTTGGCCCCAATTGAACCGCGAATCGGTATATGCCAGCAGAGAGAAGGGTTTCTATGAGACATCAGTGAGTGGCCTGTGTATAAGGAGGTCTCACCATTGAAAATTGATGACTTACCTTGTCTTGGGGAGTGGATGAAGGTTCATGATCAGCAGCAGAAATCAGCTTCAGAATCTCAATCAGCCGTTTGGCGGTATGCTCAGGTACTTTCTCAAGAAGAGATGAGTCCCATAACTTGGAAATGGAGGGCAAGATCGACGCTCGCAATTCTACCACGAATTGTTGGAAAATATGTGGAACTGTCTGCGACCTGTCGGTCTGCCGTTGGAGATTGAAGTAATTGCTCGTATCAATAATGTTCTTTCCAGTGCACAGAATGAGATAGAGGTCAAGGATTTTCTTAAGCCCGAAGGTGGCGACTTTTGCCTTGGACGAGTCTTCGGGCTGGTTGTCGCCTCCCTGGCGCACGCTGCTAGCGAACGATTCAAGCATCAAACTTAACAGCTCTACTACACCCAGCTCCTTGAATGCAAGTAGAACAGGTATGATGAGCTGTGGGTTAGCGCGCTCGCTATGTCTTGTGGAAGCTTCACGTTGTTAGCCGGGACCATGAGCACGATACAGTAGACTAAAACTTACGATGTTCAACTAGCATCTCATGAATGCAGTGGAGCATGATGATCCAATAATGGAAATCCTTGGATGTTGGGCTTTTTCCTTCGACAGAGGGACGCAAATACTTCAAAATTGAGTTCGCAAGCCCTTTGGCAATCTCGATGTGGCGGGGTCGTGGGTATGTATCACCCTGATGCTGGTCCCGACGAGGCAGAAGGGCTCTACCCAGTGACTGGAACAAGGGGAAGGTGGTCGGGATCATAGGATGCAGCACATTCCGGAAAACCTCGTAATTCTGGTATTGGGAGCTGGATTGTTCTTGCTCTGTTGGGTTGCTGGAGTCCGTGCTACTCTCAGTTCTTCCCAAAGCATCAGGGATGGATGTCTGTCCAGCCTCATTTCCAGAGATTGTAGGTTGGGGGAATCCATCAAGAGGAGAGCTGCGTCTAGAGGACCAGCTCTGGGGAACCATGGTCAACTGGCCAGCCTCCTCAGCGAGAACGCCAGGGAAGAGTGGACCAATAGAGCTGACAAGATGCAAAAACTTATCATAGGCATTGACAGGGTAAAATGAAAGAGTATTTGATCTCGAGGAGGTCTGGAAGCATTCAGAAATAATCTTGATGAATGTCTGTGCGTTGAGAAGGGCCTTGACCATGGCAGTACCCTTTTTGGCATTCCAAGGTATTTCAGCTTCTGTGGCTGGTAGTGAAAACCCTGGTGCAATGAAAGGAGCAAAGATGGGAGGAATGGGCTCTCTCTTCGAGGCAATAGGCTCAAGCAAGTCGATTGCAGCCTGGGCACGGTTCAGAACCGATGGCAGTCCGCGAGCAGGAGCAGATTCGACCAACTGGGACACCACTTGAGCCAACACACGGGATGCAAGCGAGTCACCGAAGCTTGCGGTCAGGCTGGGCGATTCGCAAATGTCAAGTAAGAGTTCCAGGCCGCCCTTATCAGCAAAGTTGTTCTTCAAGACTGAATTGTTCAAGAATGCAGATAAGAAACTCGACATCGCGAAAATATAAGGAGTAAACGAGTTCTCCGAAGTCTCCTTTGTGGTAATACGGATTGTTGGGGCAAGTCTAGGCAGATCTCCTGGACCTGGAACAGCATCAATCATTAGCGTATCGTTGTCTTGCGATGAAGAAGAATCGTGGGCACCAGCCGACTCAGAGGCCTCGCTAAACGTGCCATCACAAGAAACAGAGATATTTTTTCCATCGGAGTCCTTCAAAAGCAGTTTTGCGCCCCAACCATCCGTCTGGGCTTTTTGGATTCCCATATATCGGACACGAGCCGCCAAATCAATGACAGCGTTTGAGATGGAGGTTCTCAAGGCAGGATGGTGACGAGCAAGTTCGTCGAAGTTTCCACCAACGTTGCTAGCAAGATCGGCGTCACTTTCCATACATTTTACGTGAGCAGGGCTGAGAAAGATTTCGAAATATTTCTCGAAAGCCCGTGATTCCACGACCAACTTCATTCCAGCACTGTTCAGCGAAATTGAATTCAGAACGTGGGGGATCACATTGATAGTCTCCGACGTTGGCAAGATCCCTGCTGCGCACGGCTTTGATTCGAGCACTCGCATCATCTCCTCGGTGGGTGGGTGGGGGCGGTCGTCGTGATCCTCGATATCTGCCATCAGGGCTGAACTACCGGGGCTCTCTGGTTCATTTTCCGCAGCCTCATTTGTTTTCTGGTCCTTGGCAACCTCATCGGGAATGGGCTGGTTTGTAATAGCTTCCAGATAGGTTTTGATGAGCCCGGAGTCGAGGATGACGGTAAAACTGGTGGGGTCGTTGTTGATGAAGTCGCTCAGAAT